ATTTATTTTTTTTTGAGACAGGGTCTTGCTTTGTTACCCGGGCTGGAGTGCAGTGGCGTGATCATGGCTTACTGCAGCCTCAACCCTCTGGGTTCAAGTGACTCTCCCACCTCAGCCCCCACAAGTAGCTGGGACTATGGGTGCTCATCACCACATCATTAATTTTTATATTTCTTATAGAGATGAGGTCTCAATATGTTGCCCAGGCTGGTCTCAAACTCCTGGGCTCAAGTGATCCTCCTGCTTCAGCTTCTGAAGTGTTAGGATTACAGGCATAAGTCACTTTGTCTGGCTTAAAGCAGAGAGCTTGAAGTGAGTCTCTAGAAATTAGATATGAATTTTGTGGGTATAGGATCCGTGATGCAGAAAAGGTTGGGAACTCCTGGGTGTATACGGTTATAGGGGCTAAGAGCAGACTTAGGTGCTTAGACCCCAGAGTAGGTGGGAGCTAGAAGACGATTTTTTTTTTTTTTAAATTTTTGTGATGGAGTCTCCCTCTGTCACCCAGGTTGGAGTGCAGTGGCATGATCTCTGCTCACTGCAAGCTCTGCCCGCTGGGTTCAAGTGATTCTTCTGCCTCAGCCTCCTGAGTAGCTGGGATTACAGGCATGTGCCACCATGCCTGGTTAATTTTTGTATTTTTAGTAGAGACGGGGTTTTACCATCTTGGCCAGGCTGGTCTCGAACTCCTGACCTCGTGATCCACCCACCTTGGCCTCCCAAAGTGCTGGGATTACAGGCATGAGCCACTGAACCCAGCCTGGAAGACAATTTTGATGGTGCTGAATAGCTGGAAATTTGAAAACGGGGGTGGGGATAGGGGTTGGAAGAGGTATAGATTTGGGAGTCATTACCTAGAGGGTAGGGACAAGTACCTCATGGACAGACAAGCAGGGCAGGGGTGGCAGAGTGATTCATCAAGAGTTTGGCAGTTATAAGTGACAGAAACCTACTCAACCTGGTTCCGGCAGTAGAGGGAATTTATTCCTAATGTGACTGAAGACTGAAGCAAGACTGGATCCAATGCCTCATGCAATGCCACTGGGACTTGGTTTCATGTCTCCATCTCTCAGTTCTGTTTCCCCCTCTGTCTTGGTCTCATTCTCAGGTAGCTTCTCTACTCGAAATGGGAAGCTGGCTGTCAGCAGTGCCATGATTACATCCTACCCTCAGCAAATAGATTCAATGAAGAGTTGTAACCAAAGTTTCAGAATTAGATCCATTGGGTCATATGCCCATTACTGAAATGGTGTGGCAACAGGGCTCTCTATAATGCTGTGATTGGCCAAGCCTGCGCTGTGTGTCCATCCCTGCAACTGGAGATAGTGTCTTCTCCTCTAGAGCCACGTGGATTGAAGTTGGGGCAGGGGCTGCTCCAGAAGAAATGGAAGCGCTGTTACCAGAAGGAAAAATAGACACTGGAATGGCAGCCACAGGGGAAGGGGAGCCAGAGCCCCATAGGCTGGCCTTCCTATTAAAAGGAGGCAGCTATAGAAGTGAGGCAGTGGGGCAGCAGGGAAGGCACTAGGAGGTTGAGGACTGGGCCGGCAGTGAAGGAAATGGTAGATCGGGGTCACGTAATAGTAACCCTATTGCCACTGTCGTTTGGGGTTGTGAAAAGGTCTGGGAGGGTTCTTCTGACAAAAAACCTGACAACATAAAAGACACAGTGCTAAGTAAGTCCTTGTCCTCAGAATAAAGGCAGGAAAAGCTGAGCAGTTGGGTGACACCCCATCAAGATATTGCTGCTGCTGGAAAGGGCAGACATTGTCTGGGGACATTCATGGGACTGTGAGGCAGGATGAAGGAAAGGGCATTGCCAGCTGGCCTTGTGAAGGGAAGAAACAACCATTTTTCTCCTCAACCTTAGAAAATGAAGCTTACGCATTTTTACAATAGTAATAAATTTACAATAGCCTGAAACAACCCACATTCCAACAGTAGGTATCTGGGTAAATATTGTAATGCCCAGAGATAAAATGCAGCCTTTAAAAATGATGCTTTATTTGACATGGAAAGATGTTCACAATATAGTTTTTTTGTTTTTTGTTTTGTATGTTTTATAGAGCTTGGTGGAGGTGGTGGTGGTGGGGGGGTCTGGCTATGTTACCCAGACTGGTCTTGAGCTCCTGGGCTCAAGTGATCCGCCCACCTTGACCTGTCAAAGTGCTGGGATTTCAGGTGTGAGCCACTGTGCCTAGCCTCACAATGTAGTTTTGAGAGAGAAAAGGTGATTACAATCTTATTTTTGTCCAATAGATGTATGTATATAGAAAAAGGCTGGGAAGGTGTACAACAAAATGTTAGCAGTTGGTATCATTAGAGGTAGGACTACAGCTGAAGCTTATCTTCTTTTTTTCTTTCCCTTGAGATGGAGTTTCACTCTTGTTGCCCAGGCTGGAGTGCAATGGCATGATCTTGGCTGACTGCAACCTCTGCCTTCTGGATTCAAGCGATTCTCCTGTCTCAGCCTCCGATGTAGCTGGGATTACAGGTGCCTGCCACCACATCTGGCTAATTTTTTTTTTTTTTAAGTAGAGACAGGGTTTCACTATGTTTTTCAGGATGGTCTTGAACTCCTGACAGGTGATCCATTTGCCTTGGCCTCCCAAAGTCCTGGGATTACAGGTGTTAGCCACTGCACCTGCCTTAAGCTTATCTTCTGATTTCTTTATAATAAACCTGCTTTGTAGTGTGATACTGTCATAGTCAACTAAATCCAACCTCCTGAGTGCATGTCTCAGCTCTGCCACTGCTTGGCATGGTGGTTTTGGGCAAATCTTAACACCTCTGAGCTTCAGTTCATACAACCATAAAGTGAGGGTAACAGTTCTTAACTCATAGGGTGGCTGTGAGTATTAAATTAGCTACTACTACCTGCAAAGCTATTAGCCATACTGGCAGTAAACACTAAAAGATGTAGTTCTTACTCTTGTGTAATGAAAAAATCCAAAAGAAAGTATGACTATTAAGTCAAATATACGGAAATTAAGTGTCTTTGTTGGCCAAATAGCTGTGGCAGTAATCAATAAATGAGCTGTTATTAAGACAAGCTATTTAAGCTATTTTTCTCTAACATAGGGAAACATCTCAAGAATAAGAGAGGGAAGTTCTCTACTTTCCTGAAACTTTCAGACTAGCAGAGAAAACAAAAAATAAACAGATACTGCGAAGATAAAGGTGATTGGAGAAGGCAGTGATATTTGAGGGTTGAGAGAGACAACCAAAAGTCAGGGGAAGAGGAGGGTGGCAGAGCAAAGAAAGTTCAAGGCCTTGGCTCACACCTTGTAAACCCAGCACTTTGGGAGTCTGAGGCAGGCTGATAACTTGCATCCAGGAGTTCGAGACCGGCCTGGGCAACCCAGCAAAACCTCAGCTCTACAAAAAAATAAAAAATTAGCCAGGCACAGTGGCATGTGCCTGTGGTCCCAGCTACTCAGGAGGCTGAAGTGGGAGAACTGCCGGGAGGTCGGGGCTGCAGTGAGCTGAGATCATGCCACTGCACTTCAGCCTGGGTGACAGAGCAAGACTGCCTAAAACAAACAAAAAAAATCAAGGACTGGTTGGGGGGAAGATTGTAACTCATGTGACCCATGTGGCTACAGCAAGGGACACTGGGGTGTAGGTGGAGATAAGAAGAGCGGTATTCAGTTCTCACGTCACGTCGGACTGAATACAGGGCAGGGGGAATGAGAGGCTGTCCATTCCTCTGATCTGGGGCAAGTCACCAGCCCTTTCAGAGAAGCCTCCGTCTTCTCTGCAAAATAGGATGATAATATCTTGCTTCACAAGGTTGCAAGGGATCAAAATACCTGGTAGTGGGCCGGGTGCGGCGGCTCACGCCTGTAATCCTAGCATTCTGGGAGGCCGAGGCAGGTACTAGCTTGAGGTTAGGAGTTTGAGACCAGCCTGGGCAAAATGACAAAACTCCGTCTCTGCTAAAAATACAAAAATTAATCTGGCGTGGTGACAGGTGCCAGTGATCTCAGCTACTTAGGAGGCTGAGGTAGGAGGACGCTTGAACCCAAGAGGTAGAGGTTGTAGTGAGCTGAAATCGAGCCATTGCACTCCAGCCTGGGCAACAGAGTGAGAGTGTCTCAGAAAAACAAAGAAACAAACAAGAAAGAACTGGTAGTGGAAGCTTTTTGCAAACGACCATGACCAGTATTATTACAAACACAATCATTGGGAAAAGATGCGGGGCATTGCCAGGAACTCCAGCGGCGCCGACCAGCGCGTGCTCGACAGGCGGGCGGAGCCAGGGCAGTCCAGGCGCCGCCTCGACCCGCCCCAGCCTCTTCCCCTTCCCTGTTCCTCCCACTGCCGCGGGCACCCAACTGCGTGTCTCCTGCGCGCTGACGTCAGGTGCGTGCCCCTGTCCGGCAGCCGAGGAGACCCCGCGCAGTGCTGCCAACGCCCCGGTGGAGAAGCTGAGGTGAGTGCGGGGCCTGAGGCTCCCCGCGGGAGCGGCTCCCCCACCCGCCCGTCCCCGCCGTCCCTGTCCTCTCCCAGTCTTCGGGGACACCCCGTCTGCGGAATCTCGGGGGGCCTGGGAGCGCGGGTCGCGGGGGAGTGCCCGGCTCGAGCTGCGTCCTCCGGGCGGGCGCGAGTCGGCGTTCTGTGGGGGACCCGGGGCGGGGGGCGCGGCGGGGGAGCCGGGGGGCTCCCACCCGTGGAGGCGCGCGCGGCCGGGGCTCGGGGCGCGAGCGAGGCCGGGCTGTCACCGGCAGGGGCGGAAGGAAGGGGCACACCCATCCCGGGCGCCCGGGCTCCCCTCCCCCAAGCCCGGCCGCGCGGGCTCCTGAGGGCGGCAGGGGCCCGGGTGCCGGGGGCCTCGGAGCGACTCGCGGGCGCCTGGGGAGGGCCGGGCGCCGGTCCCCGGGGCTCGCGGGCTGGGTTCTGTGCCTTGCGCTCCGGCCCGACTTCCTGCTTCGCCGGGCGCAGCCGCGGACATTTTGCGGCACGGGGGGAGGGGAGCGGCGTTGCGGCCGCGGCGGGCGGCGGCGGGAGGGCGGCTCGCGGGCTGCCCGCGGCGGTGCCTGTCGGCGCTGCCCTCCGCTCGGGTCGCGTCGTCCGGGCCGGGTGGCCCCGAGCCCCGGGCCGCCGTGTTCCTGCCTGAGGTCGGTTCCTAGCATTGCCGTGCTCGTCTTCAGCCCGCTCCCTGCCGATTCAGCTGAAGCTTCCTTTTCGGGGAGTTACCTAACCGCCTCCCGAAACCGTCGTTCTGCTGCTTGCTTAATTCCTCTTATTGGGGGGAAATTTTCTTTGTTCGTTTGTTTTTTCCTCCCCTTTAAGTCTAGGAGAAATGCAGTGTGGAAGATTACGTCATCGCAGTGTAAGGAGTGAGACTTAACTCCTACAAGTCAGGGACTTAGAAATGCAGACCGCATTTTGCAGCTTTAGTCGGTCACCCTCTGGCTTATTTTGCCTGCTTCCCAGCGCGTCGTATTCAGATGATGTTTTGAAACCTTGTTACTGTGTTCATGGTCGCCTTCAATGCACCTAAAAGCCAGGAAGATATAAAATCCCAGGATTAGCTTGTGTCAGGTAATAAACTATATAAGACAACACCGTCCACAGCCCCTTGTGTGGACATTAACTTTAAATCGAGGTCCCTTTGACTATTACTAGAATGAAGTGGTTTTATTTGTGGGAACACTTTTTCGGTCCAACATGACTTTCCCAGACTGTTTGACTTCTCCTTTATGACTTACTGCATGCTGAGAACCTCCCTCAGTTGGTTCAAGTGCACTTTTTGTGGCGCAGGTGTGTTGAAAAGGGCATCTTTCCGCCTGGTCTATGCTAGACATTTTAGTTTTTTTACTAAAAACGAGACTTGGATTTTTAAGCAAAAAACTTAATGTTTTCATACTTTTGGCATCACAATTTTCTTTCTTTCTTTTTTTTTTTTTTTTTTTTTTGAGAAAAGGTCTCAGACGTTACTAAATACAATGGATATTGCACTCCCAGGCTAGAGTGCAGCCCACCTCAGCCTCCGCCTCTCGTGCTCAAGTGATTTTCCCACCTCAGCCTTCTGAGTAGCTGGTACTACAGGCATGTGCCACCATGCCTGGCTTAATTTGTGTGTGTGTGTGTGTGTGTGTGTGTGTGTGTGTGTGTGTTTTTACAGACCAGGTTTTGCCATCTTGCCCAGGCTGGTCTCGAACTCCTGGGGTCAAGCAGAGATCACAATTTTTGTTCCCCTAAGTGTTTACATCCTAAATTTTATATGCTGCGACTGCAATAATAACACAGAAAAATCTTAACACTGTAAAGCAAATGAGATCCAGTTGAGTAATGCATTGTTGTAAAGATAGTTCATGTCGAAACAAGTGCTTTCCCACTGTTTCTCATTTCTATAGAGAGAACAGATTGTTAAAACAAAAGGAGTGTTGGTTCAAGGCAGCTTTCTGCAGTGTGTAGGCATTACAGACCATGGGATAGGTGTGGAACTTGGATCTTCTGAAATACATTTGTTAGCCTTGATGTGATTATCTTAGGATAATAAAATTGGAACGCATCTACTGCCTTATTTTCTTGAGCTTGCTGTATTTCAGGATTTTAGGCCAGGCGCGGTGGCTCAAGCCTGTAATCCCAGCACTTTGGGAGGCCGAGGCTGGTGGATCACGAGGTCGAGAGATCGAGACCATCCTGGTCAACAAGGTGAAACCCCATCTCTACTAAAAATACAAAAAGTTAGCTGGGCATGGTGGTGCGTGCCTGTAATCCCAGCTACTCAGGAGGCTGAGGCAGGAGAATTGCCTGAACCCAGGAGGCAGAGGTTGCGGTGAGCCGAGATCGCGCCATTGCACTCCAGCCTGGGTAACAAGAGCGAAACTCCAGAATTTTAATACCAATTTGTGTCTTTCCCTTGAGAAAATAACCTTGGTTTGAATGTATAGTTCTTATACTGAGATGGAGATAAGAGACTGGTAATCAACTAAATATTAAATGAGCTTGTTTTCAGTAATTTCTTCAAGACCCAGAAGGTATTACATCCTCTATTTGCCCTTAAAATGTTTTCAGGTTACAACCAACAGCTGTTCTTCTTATTTTTTTTTTTTGAGACGGAGTTTCACTCTTGTTACTCAGGCTGGAGTGCAATCGCGCGATCTCGGCTCACCGCAACCTCCGCCTCCTGGGTTCAGGCAATTCTCCTGCCTCAGCCTCCTGAGTAGCTGGGATTACAGGCACGTGCCACCATGCCCAGCTAATTTTTTGTATTTTTAGTAGAGACAGGGTTTCACCATGTTGACCAGGATGGTCTCGATCTCTCGACCTCGTGATCCACCCGCCTCGGCCTCCCAAAGTGCTGGGATTACAGGCTTGAGCCACCGCGCCCGGCCAGCTGTTCTTATTAAACTTAATTTTTTGGGAAGTCTAAGGCAGATGTTATAGCCTAGAGTAGTATGGGGACTTAAATAAAAAAATGAGTTGAGGTTTTTTTTTTTTTTTTTTTTTTTTGAGATAGGGTTTACTCTGTAGTCCAGGCTGGAGTACAATGGTGTGATAACAGCTCACTGCAACCTCGGCCTCCCAGGCTCAACTGGTCCTTCCACCTCAGCCTCTGCAGTAGCTGGGACTACTGCTGCATGCAACCAGGCCTGACTAATTTTTGTGTTTTTTTTTTTTTTTTTTGTAGAGATAGGGTTTTGTCATATTGCCAGGCTGGTCTGGAATGCCTGGACTCAAGCTATCTGCTCCTGTTGGCCTCTGAAAGTGCTGGGATATGGGCATGAGCTGCTGTGCTGTGGACAGGCTTTCTTGGAAGTAAAAGACAAGTTGTACTTTTATTTATAGATATATTTTAAATGCAGTTCTCTATTTTAGTTTGTCTTTTTTTTTTTTTTCAGAGGATGAGAAATACTTAATGAGCACCTTAGGCTGCAGGGCTTCCTTTGAAGGGGAGAATGGGGTTAAATATTGTGTTAATATATTTTCCCTAAACATACCCCTCTGTATTAAAGGGCTTCTATAATAATGCCTCATTCAGTGTTCTCTTCCACATACATTTCTTCATTAGATTGTAAGTTCCATGAGGGCAGGGCATTGACCTGGCATGGTCACCCCATTGCTAATGCCTAGAATACTGTCAAACATATAGTAGGTTTTAAGAAGTATTTTTCAAATGAATGAATTTGATGATGTCTGAGGGTTAACATTTTCTCTTTCTGCATATTCCATGGGCTTTTGTGCTGTGTTTCCTGAGACAACTTTTGTGCTTGGTCAGCCATATCTTTATTTGGGCTCATTGAAGTAGTGATTACTAATTTACTCTTGCTTGACTTTTTCCATCTGTTTAGTTCAGTATCTTCTGCAGCTGCACTGTCTGGACAATTTACCATCACTTAGGAACTCTATGATGACTGGTTCCCTTATTCTCCTGAAAATTATTCACTTAATGTTTGTTTCCTTAACTTCCTCTCTTTCTCTGTTTGCAGATAACTTGTTTTTGCCACTTGTTCACTACCGTATTAGATTCCTGGTCACATTATGCTTTGTGTCTTACTGGTTTCTACTTTTAGTTTCTCATCCCTTCAGTCCAAAAATGTTTTTACTACTTGCCATTTCACCTACCTCTGCTGCTGCTGCTATTTTAAGTCCTGAATGTCAGAGCTCTTCTGGGACATTGGTCTCAAACTGCTTATTCCATGAAGTGAAACTAGCCTTTTTGCCACCATTGTGGTGTCTCTCCTTGTAATTTTAGAAAAATACTTTTAAAATCAAAGATTTGGCATTAGCCATTATGTTAAAGTCCAGAACAGTTTCTAACAGAACAGAAAATTGTATTGTTAAGTCATGGTATTCACTAAGCATTGGTGCTCTGTCTAGGCTCTGTTACTTACTCTTGTTCTGTAAAGCTTTACACTTTAATCTTGTATCCTTTTCAGTTCTCCTGTGTGTTCTTGATTGATGTATTGCTACTATAGTGATTAAAATCATAGACTCTGGAACCAGACTACCTGTGCTGAGATCCTGGTTCTGCCACTTACTAGCTATGTGCAGTGTAAGTAACGTCTTCGTGACTCAGGTTTACTTCCTCTAAAATAGGGGTAGCAATAGTGCTTACTTCACAGTGTTGCAGGGTTGTTAGGAAGATTGAATTAGTTAATATATGTGATGTGTTTAGGATTATTCACTGACACACAGCGAGTGCTGTTTGGGTTTTTGCCCTTAGCAAAACTCTGAGGACCCTTCCCCACCATCTTTGAGAAGCTGTGTTTCCCTTAAACATGAACATTTTAATAACCATCCTCCTCCCGGGCTAATTTCAAGAATCCAAAAACATTTCTAAATGAAGTGGGTATTGCTGCCTCCTTTACATTTTTATCTATTATCTTTACCATTGTCATAGAAACAAGGGGTAAGGCCTCAGGTTTGCAGTATAGTCTACAAATCCAGCAGCATAAGTATCACATGGGAGCTCGTTAGAACTATCAGGATCCATTCCAGTCCTACTGACTCAGAATCTGTACTTTTATAAGATTCCCACATGATTTTTATGCATATTGATGTTTGAAGTATCCTCTTCAGGACTGCTAGAGTGATGTCTCAGATTTCAGAAACAACATGAATGCTGTATTTCCTTTTATTTTCCAACTGAAGCATAGCCTGGTTTATTTTAGGCAGTGTACCAGAATTATTGCAAGGATCATAATCAGAAAATGAATCTGAAGCCTATTTAGTTTTTAAAGGAATTGTAGTTCCTGCCTATTATGTAGAATTGCCTCATGTCTGCTCATTATCAGGAACTAATGTGTTGTTTAAAGTTTTTTTTTGAAACAGAGTTTCACTCTTGTTGCACAGGCCGGAGTGCAATGGCACGATTTCTGCTCACCACAACCTTTGTTTCCTGGGTTCAAATTTTTCTCCTGTCTCAGCCTCCTGAGTAGCTGGGATTATAGGCATGTGCTACCATGCCCGGCTAATTTTGTATTTTTAGTAGAGATGGGATTCGTCCATGTCTGTTAGGCTGGTCTCGAACTCCCAACCTCAGGTGATCCGCCTGCCTCAGCCTCCCAAAATGCTGGGATTACAGGCATGAGCCACCGTGCCCGGCCTTGTTTAGTTATGAAAGTGTCATTGCCCACTGTTAATAATGAAATAATCTCTCTCTTTTTTTTCTGAGACGGAGTTTTACTCTTGTTGCCCAAGCTGAAGTGCAATGGCATGATCTTGGCTCACGGTAACCTCTGCCTCCCAGGTTCAAGTGATTCTTCTGCCTCAGCGTCCCGAGTAGCTGGGATTACAGACATGCGCCACCACACCTGGCTAATTTTGTATTTTTAGTAGCGATGGGGTTTCTCCATGTTGGTCAGGCTGGTCTCAAACTCCTGTCCTCAGGTGATCCTCTCGCCTTGGCCTCCCAAAGTGTTGGGATTACAGTTACAGGCATGAGTCACCACACTGGCCTGAAATAATCTTATTATTGTTTAGAGTATGAATTATGTATCTTTAAATTTATTTTTATTTTTTAGAGATAGAGTCTGGCCCTGTCACCCAGGCTGCAGTGTGTGGTGTGATTATAGCTCACTATAACCTTGAAC